AAATCGCGGATTGCTTGTCCCAGCTCTTGCAATGATTCATCTTTACGTCTTCGTCTCATTCTCAACTCAATGAGAAAGTTTTCAGCGTTCTCTCCTGGACCAAATCTTTGTCCCAACTGACTTGCCAGTTTACTGTACGTAATTCTCTCATGTGGAGCCAAACTTCCAAGTACTTTAAGTGCCGGACCATGCAGTCTAGTTGCCAGATATTGTCCCGCTTCCAAGTCACTCCAACCATTGAAGTTCATACACACTTCAAAGTGTCGTCGATAGTCCAGCCACGGCATTTTACCGCCAAACTTCTCAGGTAATACATCTTTCCGGAAAGAGGTTCTTCTTGTGCGACCTACCACCTCAGTTGGGTCTCTACTATCAACATACTGAGCATCTAACCGAAACTCCTGTGACGTGTACTCTTGTCGACCCTCTTCTGGAATGGAATCGCCGAACCCTCCAACATGTACTACCACTTCTGGGTCAGTCACATCATTGGCCCAACGTTTTGGACTATCGGCTCCACTAACGTGCTCAGCTTGGGGATTTACAGCAACGTTTTTGTTTTCTAAGTCCATTATGACCTAGATGAAAGAGAAAATAGTTTTCTCTTTCATTCAGTATTTTTATTTTGTTTAATTTAATTTTGCTAGTCAAGTGTGTCTCTTACAATGTATAGAAATAAGGTTTCTAATTTGTGCCACACTTAAGCTACATACTGTACATGTACAGCCTAATAAGGTACAATAATAGTGTTACAAAGTAATATAATATTTTTAATTCTATTATCTATATTTCTCTACTGTAAAGCAATGCCTGACCAACACTCATCTCCTATAATTATATTCAACAAAAATATTTGATATTACTTAGCCATCCCACCGCTGTGCCACCAATGTGACGCGGGACGCAAAACACCTTCTCAACAAATGAGTCTAAATAGAAATTGCTGCCACCACATGGTGATATAGGGACATGACCCCTGGATCAACTGAGGTTTCTCCAGTTGATCCCAATCTAAATGGAAAACTACGTCACAATATGAATTGTCTTTCCTTGTGACGTAACAATGCAAGACTGCAAGAGAGTTAATTATGCATAGAAAATGGGGGGAAAGGATTGCCGCTGATTGGCTAAGAGTAATGCGTGCCAAGTGCCATTCAATCAGACACCATGCGCCCATGTTACAAATTAGGAGCCATTCGTCTTATGTGCTCAAGAAATCCCGACAGAATTCACCAAGATGTTCCTCATGATGCATTCAGCTTCTTGTAGATTAAAAAGGAACAAGTCAAGAAATACTGGTAAATATTCTGTACTCTGATACTCTGTCTAATTGTTTATTCTGAATAATCTCTCTTCCATCATAGGCTTGTCGCTACTCATTCACATACCATTAGCAACGTGTATCAATATTGCACGATAACCACGTACAGAACTTAGGCATTTTCCCGCACATGCATACGTTCACTCCACACTACTCAGGGATAGGTACCACAGAGTACTCACTTAGCCTCTCGCTGCATAGTCTCGCATTTCCCTTACTCTCTGTCTCTCAAACTTATCCGAGCTGGAATCAATGGCGTAATAGGGCCGTTTGCATCAAGCAAACTGTTGGCTAAATAAATCAATCTAAACTCATCATTTTCTCTCTCGCTCTCACTTGACAATTGTAGTTACCTCTCCATCAACATCTTCTTTATCAATCAGGTCTACAATAATTGGTCAGGCAATTGCTTCAATGAATAATGCAAGAATACTTTGTAATAACGTTTAACTTGAACTTTAATAATGTATAAAACAGTAACTGGTGGAATGAATTCCGCAACGATGGTAAAGATACAACTTAGTCTAGGTTACATGGTATTTTAATCCACTTGGAGTACAAATATTTATAAGTTATTTAAATTTCGTTCCAACGTTTCTGTCTTTATTCGATCCTAGTTCCCAAGTCAGTGTTAACTCTTCTTTTCATTATCCCCTTGGCCTAAACCGTGTTGTTGCGACCAGCGCTTAAACACATCCTTTCGTATATCAATAAACCTCGCTTCTCAACTTGCCAACACCATTTCTCTCCTCCTGGGCATACCTGAACCAAACTTTCCCATCTTAAAACGTAGTCACTACCTTCTGGTCAGTGCTACTTTCAGAAACCGACGCTTAATAGAAACTGGCCTCAGAGATATTATCTCCCAGAAACTATGTCTAAAGATATCTTAACGAGGGAACAACTCTCTTGTTTAATCTGAACCATAACTTCTCAGAGTTTAACTCTAAATTCACAAATATATAAAATGTAATTACTAAATCAATGCATGGCGGTGGACTAGCAGGAAGAGAAGGGGGGGGGGGGGGGGGGGGAGATGGTCAACTTCCAAGTCCTCTGATCTTGGTTCTAGTACCTCACTGACTGATCATCAAAACTGAAGGCAGTCTGATAACATGATCATCTAACAGAAATTGCATTCTGTTCTGTAGCCAAAATCATCTAACTGATCATCAAAACTGAAGGCAGTCTGATAACATGTTCATCTAACAGAAATTGCATTCTGTTCTGTAGCCAAAAATCATCTGACCTGATATCCTGAAAGGGGAGGGGGGGGGGGGGGGGAACTAGTGACACCGCCTAAGACTAAACATGCATTGATTATGATATCTAGTAAGCATTTATGAATACATGTACTTCAATTCCGTACAAGTTTATGACCGAAAGGTCTGAACTTAGAATATTTCCTAAGGTAACAGTTACCAAAAATACTTAGAATACTTTAATAGAGCAAGTGACCGAAAGGTCTGAACTTAGAATATTTTCTAAGGTAAACAGTTACCTTAGAATACTTAGAATATTTTAATAATACAAGTGACCGAAAGGTCTGAACTTAGAATATTTTCTAAGGTTAACAGTTACCAAAAATACTTAGTGCAGGTTACCGAAAGGTCTACACTTAGAATATTTGTATGTATATTCTACAACCATATTGAACAAGGTAAAAGTTTATGTATAAAGGCACTTTTGAGACACACTTAACTCTTCCAGATAGCTTAGTCAGAAGACTAAGATTTAGGATGTCAAAGTATTAACATATTAAAGTATTGAAGTATTAGAAAGTCTTAAAGTATTGAAAATCCATCAATTTCCAACCAGTAAAGGTCTGAATAAATAATGCCAGGGTCCCAGACCCTGCAGTACGAACGAGGACATATGTTCCTTCCACACATGTTGTTCAGTTCTATAATAAATAATTATATACAAGGATGCAATGAATGAGTTGTCTTTTCTGTGTAAGTCCTATCAGAGCCAAAACAGTGACACTTAGTCTTAGAATATTTCAGAAGTGTAAGTAGACTCTAGAGACCAAAAGGTCGACACTTAGAATAATTTGGACATTTCAACATATTTCAATAAGCACACAATTAATTCCAGAATTCAGTCTGAAAATATCACATCATACACTTCATACATCAATATTATTATCTCCATTAGATGTGAAAGTACTGAAGAACTATATCGGGAATTATATTACCAACGATCCAAATCTAAAATCTGAATTTGTAAATCGAATTCAATTTCCTCCTAAAATCCCACATTTAGATAATAAATTCATTAAATCAGTAAGAACTGCATTCCATATTAATTTTCCATCTTCCCTTTAATTATTCTTATTTAATTTGAATAAAATTGGTACTTACAATGCTTCTTTGGGTGAAAGCTGAGAAGAGAATAAGAATGAATTGAGAGCATCCGAATGGTCTTCCAAAATGGCGATCTGAGAACTTGTGCCAAATTTGTGTCTCCCGCCCCGTATTTATACCCCTCCAATCCGGCAACGTGATTGGTCAAAAGTTCACACATATTTACGCGCCACTTTTAACCAGGCCGACCGGCCAGATAACCAAATCTCTGAATAAAATAGCACCCTCTACGTCACATTCAATGCAACTCAAAATCTCTCGCGGGAAGTTTAAAAGGTAAATTCCTGAACGCGCATACATGTGTACATTATCTCACAGGAACAATACAAAATAGTTACCAAGGAAATCTAATACTACGAGAAATACCAAAGGTGAGTACCTGCTTCCATAACATTATACATGTATGTGTAATTCTTGAGCATTAAAGTTTAAAAAGGTGACATAAGGTGTCTCACTTTAAGAGAGGAATTCCAGTCCCACACATTGTATTTGGTGTGGTAAAAAAAAAAGATTTATTTAAAGTTTATTTATCTATCCAAGTCCATATGAAAGATAAACATGTATATTTTATTTACCCACCAATTGTTTAATTAAAAGAAAAAAAATAGAGGGGTGGGGTCCAAAAACGCCACATTATTATTATCATCATCACATGATAATAGCATCATATGCACATTACTCTAATGCATCAAAGTGAAGAGGATTTGCAATGTCGTCTCATTTGATTGATATTGCTAACAGAGCAAAATACACCATGAGGGGGGGGGGGGGGAAGAGGGGGTACAACGAATTTGATAGAAATATACATTTCAGGTGTAATAACAAAACACCCTGATGTTGTCTATACATATTCAATGGGTATAACTCATGATCGTTAGCGGAGTGAAAAAATGACCCCCCCCCTCTATTTGCTGAGTTTTCAGAACATTTTCGACGATTTATGATCCCTTTGCCAAAATTCAAGTACAAAAAGGCTCTTATATTAATTCCTATTTTTATCATATCGAGTACAAATTAATAAAAAGTCCCCATTTTTGCCTTGTGTTATTACGAGTTGCGGGTTGTTCCTCTTTGAAAAAATGACAATTTTTGATAAATTTCTTACTCTTTAAAACATACCCTTTCTTCAAAACCACGAACATCGAGCATAACTGTTACTGACATTTCTTACTATCATACGAAATCAATATACGTTAAATTCAACGATTGTGTGAACATATTCTGTTATTGTTGCCACTCACGCAGAAATATGATTTTAACTTCGATCCATCAACCAGACCTTGGAAATTGTTTGAAAAGGTGTGCTTACTAACCCTAAGATCTCTCTTAAAATCTGGACTTTTGTAATTTAAGACTTCATCAGCTCCCATCTGCTCCACCAATTCTTGTCCCTTCTCTGTCCCAGCCGTGCCTACCACTTTCGACGCACCTAAAGCACGAGCTAGCTGAATTGCTCCCAGCCCAAACTGAGGAAGAAAACAGGAAAACAGGAATATAAAGTAGTGCATGTCATGTTTAGACAAAAATAAACCAATGACAATTCATATTCATCCCAATGAAAAGAAGTTTTATACAACAATGATGAAGAATACAACAAATGCATTTCATGTATGTTTGAAATTATTTTTGGCCTATTTAATTGTGTCTTACTCCCCGCCCCCGCTACGTTTACTCGTTCACACAGACACAGACACACTTAATAGGGTTAGATGGGTAGGTTCATGAGCTATCTTTTATCCCATACACAATTCATTGCCAATTCAGAGCAATATTTGTGTAAAGAGAGAGAGAGAGAGAGAGAGAGAGATTCAAGCTAGACCTACCAGGGAGTACTGGTGGTTTACAGTATGTCTCAATGAGAGATCTGTTTCATTAAGTTATTAACTTGATTCCGCTTGAATGTGCAGGTATACACGTTTGTTTAATAAAGCAGCTATACCCGTACGTGTAATCATGTGTGAACATCTGGAGGGCAATAATTGGCATTGAGTTGGTTTATATCAAAATCTCCGGCAAAGTATACAATTTATTTTCTTGATTAAGTATATTCACAATTGAATTGAAAGGATCGATGAAAGTCTGGATAGGTGTATTCGGCAGTCTATAAAATATAGTGCCAAAAATATTTCTATTTTATTTCAATAAAAACGGACTCCAATTCAGCTGTATTATTCATATCCAGATCCAACCTACGAGAAAAGGTTAAACCATCACGCATATAAATGCCTACCCCACCTCCAAAGCGAGTATTACGGCCGTTACCCACAAACACGTAATCATCAACATTATACACTGGGTCATATATTTTCAGCCACGTTTCAGTTGTAGCTTTTGCACAAAATTCATAATCAACCAGATTTAAAAACAATATAAACGAAAGCTGAAGAAGAAAAGCGAAGAAAAGCTTCAGTCAGTCTGTAGTCATTGTAGTGCCTATCATTATGATTAAAATTATGTATATCCTATACAAGTAATAATTACTAACGTTTGAATTATTTGAATGCAACATTTGAAATTCGAGAAAACTTACCCCTCCACTTGCACCATTGACAAGAACCGTTTCACCTCTCTTAAATCCCGCCCTGTTTAACAAACAACAAAATAATCGATCATTATTCTTATCAAAACATGTATTCAGAATTAACTATACATTGACCTGTGTACATAATTATGTAGATTCACCAAACGTTTGACATAAACAATTATTTTATTGCTTTATATTCAAATACTTTAAAGTAATTAATGTGTTTAGGACATGAATCATCTAGACTGCCCAATAGCCCATTTTTGTTTTACAATGCCATCATTATTGTTTTTGTTTTAAGTTTCCTTTTTCCATTTCATGTAAGTCGTAAAATGGAACATTTTTATACATTTCCTAGGATATTAATAATTTGTTATTATCATTGTTTTGCAGTATGTAAACGTGTTAATATTTTCCCTGACTGTAGTTTTACGAATATGAAATAAATATACGAATGAATAAACAACTACCCAGAGGAAAACTATAATTATCCTAAGCAATAATATGTTAATGTTCCTATATAGGGGTGAGCTGTCCGAGGTAAACTGTCCGAGGAGAAGATAGGAGCTAAGTGTTTAATAATTGTTAATAAGGTAGTTTTCGTGTAGTGTAGTTCTTACATAATTGTCCAGAGACCCAACATGGTGAAGGATCTCTTCAATATTCGATGATCACTTGATTAGGGTTAATTTAATATCACATAACTAATCCTAACAAACAAAACAACAACATTGTCTCACAATAAGTCACAGAGAAAGGATTATCGTTTTTTTTTTTGTTTTTTTTTTACATGCAAAGGGTAATCTAACAAATAATTGATCATTTTGAATAAAAGTAGGTAGGATTTTAGTCTACCGTGCATATTGGACTTTAGGCATGTTAGACTGCAATGAAACCTGCTAATAACGACTATTATAATACAAAATAGAATAGCCACCTGGCTATAGAGACCGACTTCTCTGTCTTACGTGGGTCATCTTTATATAGAGATATAGCGGATGTTTACTAGGGCCAAGCCTGATATTCCTCATGTTTAATATCTGCAATAAAAATTCACATTGTCAGTGTTTGATTTGGATTATAGCAAGTGTAATTTCATTGTTTAATTTTAATTAGTGTATCATGGGATTGATCCCGTTTAACCAGTTTTAGAACAAACAAGAAACTCGCATTTCGCAACATTTGATTTTAGTTTGATGCATTTCAGATATTTAGATACTAACATAGTTTGTACCTCTTGGTATAAATTGTATAAATTGTTACCACGAGCCTATGAACATTTATCCTCAGCATAACTATCATGACTTTAAAGGGTTTCACTCACTAATTTTAATTTGAATCATCTAGAATACACACAAAAAAGCACCTTTTCAAACATCTGATTGCAGAGAAATATGGGTTGGGTAATACAGCGCCCTCCTCATAAGACAAGTTGTTTGAAAGTTTGTAGACTCTATCCTCAGCCGCTAAACAAAATTCTGCGTAGGTTCCTGTAATAGGCTGGAAGACATAGACTCGATCCCCAGGCTATGGTAATGATTTAGAAAAAAAATTGAACTTGAAAAAAAATTGAAACGAATATGTAAGAGTGCATTATGTACTTTTTAACATAACAACAGGACTCCTTTTATTCAACAATCGTATTTTATTTGATATACTTTTAGTAATTCAAATATGCAACTCTAGCAGGTCAAAAGCTCTCTTATTAAACTTGAAATTTATTATCCAATAATAAACACATAACAATAGGTATAAACAAGTTTTTTTACAATAACATATCAGGATAATATGAACCAGAAAATAGCATGAATACTAATCGAGTCTGATACCCAGGCGCTTCTTATTTTTGTGTTTTGGCGGAAAATGGGTGACCCCAAAAAGCTGACCTTACCCCACCCCCCAACGAAACAAAATATCGATCGGCCAAATTAAAAATATCAAAATTCTGTGGCCGTACAACATTGTTAAGTCATGAAAACTGTCACATCGCTCTCAGGAGTTTAACGGTTTTTAATAAGCGTGCCCAATTTTGTTGGATAGTATAGTATTTTAGGTTTAATCAATTCAATTTCAATTCAATTCAATGTAGTATATTTACAATACAAAATCGTATTCCAGGGACTAATTGCACAATGTTTACAATGTAAAAATGGTCTGTAGAGTAGTGACTCCCTGCCCGACACTGTGAATGATCCCTGAGCCGTCTAAACCAAGAATGAATGGTGGTTTATAAGTACGCCATCCAGTAGCACGAATTCGAAGATCCAACTCATTGATTCCTGCAGCTTTCATCCGTATCTCGATAAAAATAAGAAGTTGAAGGTATAGACCAGTTTGGGTCATGCGATTGCAATGTGAAAGAAACGTTGTGGAATCGATCAAAAAATGTTGATCATCTAGCATATAGTATTGATGTGTACTGCAAGGTTCTGGAATCATCAAAATGATAAGAAATTTGGCCCAGTCTTGGTAAAGTTACAAGCACTGTGCACAGAAAGATGTATATGGGACTTCCCTATATCTATCCAGTCCAGATAGATAAAATAATTTACCAAATATATCAATTAGTAGGCGGTTCCCCGGCAAAATGTGTATTATCACGTATAAGTCAAAACATATTCTTTCACATGATTGGTAATATTATGAGCTTCCATTTCATTTTTTGAAATGGAGGCGTTTCCAAAATTGGTCTTTACCTTTAAGTAGTAAAAATGGTTTGTATTTTTTAACCAAAAAATAATGAAAAAATAACAAAACTTGAATTAAAATCACCTAAAAATTATATATCATTTAAAAAAAAGAAGAGTAAACAGAATTTAAATTTCATAAACATTCTGCATGCCCCTACATTTATCAATGGAGGATTTTATAATAGCGATACGCGCATATCGTGGAAATATTGTGAGAGGATGGGAAAGCGTGTGTGTTTTTTATTATAGGGATGAGAAGACATGAGCCCCTCAACATTGGTGTACTGATGGGAATGTGGGGGGGGGGGGGCGGCAGTTGCCCCCCAAATAATATTCAAACACGGTTTATTTCTAATTCGATACCGGTGATTTACAAATGTTGCTGAAATAACATGATTTTGGGGGGATTTTTTCTCAATTTTGTTTTAAATATTCTTTTTTATGCATTTTAATTTGTTGGAAAATTACCGTCAGGCAAACAAGATGCTTATTTAGAAGCCTTCTTTTCAGGTCCTGCAAGACGACGGGGCTTGGGGGCTCGAGCCCCCTCACTTTTTCGAAAAAGTATGTTAGAGAAAAAGAAAGAAAGAATGAGTGACCTGCCACTGTTACAAATGAGGTATCAAAATATGCCTACTGACTGTAAGTAAATGCCAAAAACCCTGAGCTTACGGGGGCTCCGCCTCCTGAACCCCACCAAGGGCCCTATGGCGGACCCTAAGGCGGGCCTCTGGATGCTCATCTGACCTTAATAAAATACCTAAACACCCTGAGCTTCCGGGGGCTCTGCCCTCGGAATCCCACCAAGGGCCCAATGGAAGGCCCCTGGATGCTCATCTGACCGTAATTAAATACCTAAAACACCTGAGCTTCTTGGGGCTCAGCCCCCTGGAACCCCCCGCCAATTAGTGACTTGCCAAACTCTTGTTAAACTCACAATATTGCGCAGATGACAGAATGCGCACGTACCCGCACGTTGCCTATTTTCAATGTAAAGAGACATATCAACCAGCACGTTGCCATGTTCAATGTAAAGAGACATATCAACCAGCACGTTGCCTATTTTCTATGTAAAGAGACATATCAACCGGCACATTGCCTATTTTCAATGTAAAGAGGCATATTAACCGGCATGTTGCCATTGTATTCAAGTATTCAAGTATTCAATTTATTTCACATCACTTTAAAAACACATCAAAAGATATACAACCAAATCATAAATTAAAACAATATAAATATATACAAAAAACAACAACATTCATTTACATTGTACTGATGAAAGAAGGATGAAGGGTGGAGGATGTGAAGGATCAACAAAGGCCATTGGCCTGTCAAGGTTGATCCCCTATATTTCCACCCTTCAAAAGAAATACATTATACAAAATATAAAAAATAAAAACAATCAAACAAACAGATAATATAACATAGCATAATCACATAAAAACACAACATAATTATTTACATAAATCTCATAAAAGGCAATTAGATCAAATAAAACTACTCACAATTAAGAAGATAACATTTATATTTTTTCCTGAATGTAAAAACAGTGGATCTTTCTTTTAATACGTTTGGCAACTCATTCCAAAGCTGTGGGCCTTTAAAACTTACTGTAGTTCTTGAAAAATTAAAAATATAAAAAGGTACATACATTTTATTGGAATTTCTTGTTTTATATTTATTGATGTTGCAATTATATTCGAAATAGTCATGAAAGTTATTGGGCAATAGTTGTTTTAATAGAATAAGAAAACATAAACGATGCTAGTTGTAATTTATTTATATCAAATATATTCAATATTTTTAACTTTTTAAATAATTGTTGGGTATGTGCTAAATAGTTTGATTTGGTAATTGCTCGTATTGCACGTTTCTGTAGTAAAAACAATTTTTGTGATAAATAAAATGAGCAACCACCCCATACAATATTAGAATACATAAAATGTGATAGAATCATACAGTTATACAAATTTGTTAAAATCTTCAGAGGTAAAATGTTTTTTAAAATATTAAAGACTCCAATGGATTTAGATATTTTTAAAGCAATGTAATTAACATGTTCCTTCCAGTTCAAGTTTTCGTCAATGATTACTCCAAGAAATTTAGTACTGGTTTCTTTCTTTATACTTAGATCATTAAGTTTAATATTTATTACATTATCTTGTATTCTACAATTCCTACTCTTAAATATCATATAACATGTTTTATCGCGATTAATGTAGAGTTTATTGGCTGTAAACCAAGTTTGTATGCTTTTCATTTCTGAATTTAATAGATTATTTAATGCAACTGGATCTTTACCTGATAAAAATAAACTTGTGTCATCTGCAAATAAAATTACTGATAAAATATTGCTAACATATTGCAGATCATTAATATAAAGTAAAAATAAAAGGGGGCCGAGATTAGATCCCTGAGGTACACCTACTGAAATACTTTTATGTTCTGAATTAAAATTATCAACGCTTACATATTGCTTCCTATTGCACAAATAACTTTCAAACCACTGTATTGCATTTCCCCTTATTCCATAATATTTCAGTTTTTTAAGTAAAATTGAATGGTCAATACAGTCAAACGCCTTTGACAGGTCTAAAAAGAGAGATATCACTATGTGTTTCTTTTCAAAGGCTTTGGCAATTTTATCTGTTAATTCAATCAATGCATGGGTAGTACTATATCCCTTTCTAAAGCCAAATTGTTTATTATGCAAAATATTGTGTTTTTCAATAAAATATATTAATTTATCAAAAACAATTTTTTCTAAAATTTTACTAAAAATTGATAAAATAGAGATTGGTCTATAATTATTCAACATATTTTTACTGCCATTCTTATAAATTGGTATAACTTTAGCTATTTTTAATGCATTAGGAAATATGCCTTTATCAAGAGAAGAATTAAATATATTGCACAAAGGAGACACAATTGCATTAATAGAATATTTAACAATTTTAGCACTAATTTCATCGTAACCAGGACATTTACTTACATCAAAACTCGATATAATATTAATTATAGTAGATTCTGTAATTGGGCTAAAAAATAAAGACTCACAAACAGATCCCTGTAAAAAGCTATTAAATGATGTAGTTACTGCACTATCCAACTTATCATGAATTTTCTGTCCAACTGTACTAAAGTAATCATTGAATAAATTTACAATATGAGATTTATCCTTTATAGATCTACCTTCATATTCGATTTCATTAACATCATGCTTACTTTTTCTTTTGTTCAAAACTTCATTTATAACATTCCATGTTTTCTTTGCATTGTTCATTACATCCTTAAACTTATTATAATAATTTACATTGTCAATGTAAAGAGATATATCTACCAGCACGTTGCCTATTTTCAATGTAAAGAGACATATCAACCAGCATTAGTTCAAAACTTCATTTATAACATTCCATGTTTTCTTTGCATTGTTCATTACATCCTTAAACTTATTATAATAATTTACATTGTCAATGTAAAGAGATATATCTACCAGCACGTTGCCTATTTTCAATGTAAAGAGACATATCAACCAGCATTAGTTCAAAACTTCATTTATAACATTCCATGTTTTCTTTGCATTGTTCATTACATCCTTAAACTTATTATAATAATTTACATTGTCAATGTAAAGAGATATATCTACCAGCACGTTGCCTATTTTCAATGTAAAGAGACATATCAACCAGCATTAGTTCAAAACTTCATTTATAACATTCCATGTTTTCTTTGCATTGTTCATTACATCCTTAAACTTATTATAATAATTTACATTGTCAATGTAAAGAGATATATCTACCAGCACGTTGCCTATTTTCAATGTAAAGAGACATATCAACCAGCATTAGTTCAAAACTTCATTTATAACATTCCATGTTTTCTTTGCATTGTTCATTACATCCTTAAACTTATTATAATAATTTACATTGTCAATGTAAAGAGATATATCTACCAGCACGTTGCCTATTTTCAATGTTAAGAGACATATCAACCGGCACGTTGCCTATTTTCTATGTACAGAGACGTATCAACCAGCACGTTGCCTATTTTCAATGTAAAGAGACATATCAACCAGCATTAGAAGATTCATGAATCTACCTGTATACTGTGTATCTGAGAGAACGCATGGGTGTCATAGAAAATATCTGTCTACAAGATGCCTCACCTAGGTTTGTTTTCTCAATAAATCTACCATCTATAAGATATACACACATTCATTTACAAGAGTTTAAACCACCTGGGGGGGGGGGGGTATTCTGAGCATGATTTCATCTCTGATATATTTTATTTTATCCCTAAAAAACAATCCGTATTCTGAAACCACTTTTTATCTCTTGCTTTTTTTTTTTATTTGATCTCTATCTATTAATACTTCTCGCGTAGACATTACAGTTGTACGATTTAATGCTAACGCCCATCTTATTTTTATGTGGAAATTATAATCAAATTTAAAATAGAGTAGGGGCTGTTTTATCTCTCTAATGACTGTAAACAAGAAGACGTAACAAATTACATGACGAAGAAAGAACAGAAAAAAAGAAGAAGAAAAAAAGGGAGAAAAAAGGGGGGAAAATGCGGGCTGCGTTTGGAGGGAAGGAGAGTGAGACAAAAGGAATGTTGTAGAGATCGAGCACGAAATAGGGAGCGCACAAAATCCTTGAGATAGCTGAAACAAAAAGAGCAAGAACATGATGGCAAGTAGTTTTTTGTTTTGAAATGGGCTGAAGAAAAGAGGGAAAGAAAGCAAAACTGGGAAGGAGATGTTCTATCACAATAATTTTCTAAAAATAACGTTTTAAGAAGGATTTTTAATGGTATTATATCTCACTGAGATAAAATGATTCTCAGAATACCATAGAATCTTGTCGGTCTTTCTGTCAGTGGGCCTGCATTATATTACCTCATTAAATGATTATATAATATGCATTTTATGACCCCATTTGAATGAATGTGATTTTGCAAAGAAGTTAAAGTAATAAAAACATAATACAAAAATTGAAATGACTAAATAAATTGCTTGCATCAAGACTGCTGTGCACATAAATATTGTAGAATTTGAAGAAGATGGTACATTTCTTTAATAGAAAAGGTGCAGGTCAATAAAAACATCTGTTTAAACATCTGTGATATATTTTCAATACATACAGTTAAGAACTAAATTATACATACCCTAGCTTACCAAGTTTTGTACTTTTTTTTAGTATTGTATGTGGACAAATTGATTTTTCCTGCTTTATGTTTCTTGAGAATGTGACATGTTCAACCAGTCTCATTCTTGAGTTAAGAAAAGAAAAAAAATTAAAATTTTTTTTTTTACAAGGGGTATGTAAAATTATGTTGTTAACTGTATGATCTTGTACAAACTACAAAGTGTAATTCATGTTTGTAATTGTTTTGGGGAAAGACACTAGATGTACTTGAATCCCTTGAATGTAACAATAATCATACGGCTTGAAGCTGTGCACATACATTGTTCTAACATCGATATTTGATATCAAATATGCACAATTTCACCAAATTGAAGAAAATTGTAATTTGAAAGGAAAATGAATCCGTCAGAGCATGTTCGTTTTTTGGAAACATAATAATCAGAGAATATATTAGTGAAAGTTTCTAAAGAATCCAACACAAAATAAGAACTTTTCTTTGTTCTTGTTGTATGATACATAGTTCAGTGACAATTTGCTATGCAGCCAATATCCTAACTTCAACACCTTGAGACAAACACTATACTGAACCCTAACCATAAACCAAACATAGAGGGGTGAACCTAATTACATCCTTAAAGCCCAGAGGAATTGTCTCAGGAGCATATGTTGATCTGAACAGCTTTTTCTTCTTCTTTCTTTCTTACCTACTTGAGATTATTAATAATGTGGGGAACTTAATTTCCTATTGGCTATTCAGTCAAGTGTACTAACTGAACTGTGTAAATATGTCAATATAAAAAGTTGCAGATTAATTAAAGTGTTCTATTTATACAAATCACAGACTCAATTTCTGACCTAATTTGTGACTTTGTCTAGCGGTTTCACTCTAATGAGACACACCCTTTTAAGGCCTGTCTGCACTAGTTTAGCCAGGAGGGAATAGACCTCCCTGCATGGTCACTGACAGGAGGTTATCTCATCAAATCAGCTCTTAATTAACATAGAAAAAGGGGATCATGGGGGGACCAATAGGGTACGGCTTAGACATTGTTTGCTATATAGAGGGCACAAGTAGCTACAAGTAGTGCAGACAGACTTTAAAGGGGAACCCATACAAAAATCTGATATAGTAGTACATATTGAAAAACAAAACATTTTTTTTATTTTGTATAAATTTAATGCTTCCCGGGAGAAATTGCAATAGTTTAAACATATTTGTGGCTTACACCCAGTAAATAAGATCGATTGATCGATCTGTAATTGAAAAACAAGTCAGTTTTTTTCCTTCTGACTTGTCCTATGGCGGACTAATGAATATTAATAAGTCAGAATGAATCAGGAGGAGCTTGGGTATTTGTTTCTAGTTCATCGTCACTGTGCCATGGACCAGTGATGGCCTGGTAGTAGAGTCGCTGCCCGGCAAGCAGTAGATGGCAGGTTCAAATCCCGCTGGTTCCAAGATTTTTTCTGACTTGTTTTTAAATTACAGATTGATCAATCGATCTTATTTACTGGATGTAAGCCACAAATATGCTTAAAACAAAATTAGTACAAATATTTGTTGTTGAAGGGAAGTCACTTAAAAATCGTAAAACACAGCACAGTCAGTATATATATATATATATATATATATATATACAGCCTATTTAATTGAAGTGAAGATGCACTACATGTATGCCCCCACTTTTTCAAGCACCAAAAAAGTGCCCCTTTTTACATAGGAAATGTGCCCCTTTTACTTTGATAACTGCCCCTATCAATTTGAAAAATGTTCACCTCTGATAATTACTCTTTCTACTTTGACACATGCTCCTTTTCTTTTCTGATAATTGTCCCCTTTTCCTCTCATCATTAAACCCGCCCCTAATTTCAAGCGACTAAGAGCAATTTCCCCCAAAGCTCTCACTCATTTATAGATCATAATATACTTATGTTACTTATCAAAGGTCTTTTTAGTCTTCCGTTATGAGAATGTGCTTATTACCCTATCAGGATTGGGTTTTTCCTCTTTATAAGATGTAATTTTTCGCACTGGGACCTCACAAATCTTTTTTTTTCCCTCGCTTGCAATTAATTTTCAGACCTTTACACCCAGCTGCAAAGTATGATGCTTAAGCAATATCTTGTATGGTGTGTATAAAGTGAAACAAATATTGAAATCATCCCTGATAATGTAATTACAATGTAAAAAAATGTATATTTTCCCTTGAGATTTCCCTTTGTAGGTGCCCTTTTTTCTTGGTGCCCCCCCAGTGGCGGATCCAGGATTTGCCGATAGGGGGGGGGGGGGGGGCTAAAATGTGAAAATCGCGTCGACCAGAAGCTATGTCCACAGCCTCCAAACTGTATAATATGAAACCAATCAATCGATCAAAAGTATCAGCTTTCCAGAAGCGCCCTTCCGATTCTCAATGAATTTATGACTAGCGGCAACGTCACTGAGTTTGAAAGACCTGCCGACGTAGGGTTTCAGCCATCCTTCTTCCGCCCCTCGATCGACAATCTCGCTCATTTTCAATCTCTCACTCTGGAAGAGAAAATAGGAGAAAAAGGAGTTGATATTTATTTTATTTCCTTCGTCATATAAAAACATACATGATTATAATATTGATATTTACAGATAAGTAAAGAACATACAAATAACATAACGAAAGATAAACATAAAATACAAATATATATATATATACGAATAAGGAACCAGCAAGAAAGAACCATTAAGTCTTGTGTGGTGCTGGTCCCTAGCGACATGATAAAGAATTTTAACCTATAACACTTAACACCTTACACCTTACAACTAAACACCTAACATCTAACACCTGATTCCATATATAATAACTAATAAATAAAATATTAGAGGACGGGTGTCTGGAGAAAGAGACACAATTAAAATGTAAGGCAGATGACATTGGCCTCCTGCAAGACCGTCGTTACTTACTGCACGCCATTGACAATACAAAGCTGCTACGAACTTCTTGCAGGCAATGACATAATTAATATTTCATAAGGTAAGACTATCAGAGGAGAAAAGCATAATTAAAAAATGGTTGCAAAGTAAAAGAAGAAATAAATGAAAGTGAATTGAAAACGAGATAAAAATGGATAAAAAAAACCCATGAACAACAAACAAGGTATAGGCCTTAACTAATCTAGATCATACTCTTATATTGAGAAAGAGAGAGAGAGAGAGAGAGAGAGAGAGGGGGGGGGGGGGGGGGGGGGGGGGTTGAGAGGGGTAGCACCAATATTGGGAGAAACTGTTACTTCATATTCGGGCAGCGAAGTCATTAGTTTTCAATACGTATATCTTAATGCAGTATGTTTTTATGACAAGACTACATGTTTTTGCTGCATTAATTACGCAGTGATGTGTAAAAATGGGAAAGTGGATATTCTGATGTTAGTCGTCCCCCAGCCCCCCCCCCCCCCTGAGAGCTATAATGTAGTTTGCTCGAGGTAAATTCACTTCTGGACACAAACAAATTGGAGACAGCATGAATATTCACACTCTCAACACGATAGTCCAATTAAAATCAACATTGAGTGAAGACGCTATGTGGAGTATGATGTGTTCAAAATGTTGAACACTGTGTGAAAGAGTGTCTCAAATCTACAATGAGAAACAACTAAACGGAAAGTGTGATGTCAGGGGCATGATAGTTCTCATATGCAGAATCCTGTTCATATCACGATTGACACCCATTATGTACGACAAGGTTTGTATATTATGTGTGTTTGTTTGTCTGTCTGTCTTTTAATGTTTGTTTGCCTATGCTTACAAGCAACTTGCTTACTAAGGATATCCAGGCCCCTCCATTTTTATGCTTATATTATTATTTTAATACAACGTGTTAATATTATGTTATACTTGTTCTTTTTTAAAGATGTAAATTAAATTGAATTGAAATTGAATATATAGTACCGACTCAAAGATGTTTGTCTGACTGCATGCTCATTCATTTGTTTGTCTGTTTGTATGCATGTTTGTTTGTTTATCTGTTTGTATGTTTGTGTACATACCGAGTCACAGAAGAAAAGAGCACATCCCATGACAGTAGTTTCCTTGAACACTAGATTCTGAGGAGTGCAGACCGCCTTACCACGCTTGCCAAGTACCTGTCATAGAAAACAACCAAACATCAGATCAATGCGCAACGACTAACTGATTATACTATTTCTTACTCCACCGGGCATGTATTCAGGTGAAAGTTATGTTTTTTCATTTATTTATTAAAATATATTTAAACAGGATGACAAAAATCAGATATGAATACAAAATCTGTTTTACATCCTTGTCCTGAATAGCTACAAAATTGATACACAAAAAAGAAATAGTGGAACTCAATCATGGTAGAAAAAAAAATCTAAATACAAATCAGTAAACAACTTTACTTGTAAAATGATTCGCTCCTTAAAAAAAGAAGTTTCGAGCTACAAATGTATTGAACCCATGCTGTTATCTTAAGACCAAATTCATGTTTATGATTGCAAAAAAGTCGACGTTGATTTCATACCATAATACGCCCCAAACGAGCAGCGAGGTTCATATCCATTTCGAAGTTGACATCAACATTCGTTTCAATTATGATGTCCACACCTTTAGGTCCAAAGACATCCTGTACTTAGGAGGAGTAAAATGATAATGACAAAATGGCATTAAGATCCGAACTTGTAGAGAAACAAAAGTAATAATATAAAATAGCATTTGAGAAGCCTATTGAGTCTCATACGAATGGTCACTGGACCCCGTTGCATAAACCTTACTATTTTTCTTGTGCGCCTCGGAATAGCATTGTCTAGATAGACGGCGCTATACAAATGCCTATTATTATTATTATTATTATTTACCATGGTAACAAGCTCAACAGCCCATCAAATCAAGGTTTCCATAAAAGTTACCAATAATGGAAAAGTTACCATCAATGGTATATTTTATGCAACGTACGAAGCCCAGGTTCGACCATTGCTCTGTGCTTACATACTTGGATATGACACCCACGTTTGTCCCTCTCCGCCCCTAGGGGGCAGGGGCACCCACCTATACTAGAGATTATCACGATTGCACCGTTGTCAGGAAGAAAAGTATTGATGCCGATGAGATTTCCCAGAATAAATTAGGTTATTATTATATATTATTGCTGTTTTTTTTCTTCATATTGTTATTGTAATTGTTATCGTTGTTGTTGATAGTATTATTATTATCATTATTATTATTATCATCATCACATGATAATAGCATCATATGCACATTACTCTAATGCATCAAAGTGAAGAGGATTTGCAATGTCGTCTCATTTGATTGATATTGCTAACAGAGCAAAATACACCATGAAGGGGGGGGGGGGGGGGGAAGAGGGGGTACAACGAATTTGATAGAAATATACATTTCAGGTGTAATAACAAAACACCCTGATGTTGTCTATACATATTCAATGGGGTAACTCATGATCGTTAGCGGAGTGAAAAAATGACCCCCCCCCCTCTATTTGCAGAGTTTTCAGAACATTTTCGACGATTTATGATCCCTTTGCCAAAATTCAAGTACAAAAAGGCTCTTATATTAATTCCTATTTTTATCATATCGAGTACAAATTAATAAAAAGTCCCCATTTTTGCCTTGTGTTATTACGAGTTGGTTGTTCCTCTTTGAAAAAATGACAATTTTCGATAAATTTCTTACTCTTTAAAACATACCCTTTCTTCAAAACCACGAACATCGAGTATAACTGTTACTGACATTTCTAACTATCATACGAAATCAATATACGTTAAATTCAACGATTGTGTAAACATATTCTGTTATTGTTGCCACTCACGCAGAAATATGATTTTAACTTCGATCCATCAACCAGACCTTGGAAATTGTTTGAAAAGGTGTGCTTACTAACCCTAAGATCTCTCTTAAAATCTGGACTTTTGTAATTTAAGACTTTTTCAGCTCCCATCTGCTCCACCAATTCTTGTCCCTTCTCTGTCCCAGCCGTGCCTACCACTTTCGACGCACCTAAAGCACGAGCTAGCTGAATTGCTCCCAGCCCAAACTGAGGAAGAAACGGGAAAACAGGAATATAAAGTAGCTGCATGTCATGTTTAGACAAAAATAAACCAATGACAATTCATATTCATCCCAATGAAAAGAAGTTTTATACAACAATGATGAAGAATACAACAAATGCATTTCATGTATGTTTGAAATTATTTTTGTCCTATTTAATTGTGTCTTACTCCCCGCCCCCGCTACGTTTACTCGTTCACACAGACACAGACACACTTAATAGGGTTAGATGGGTAGGTTCATGAGCTATCTTTTATCCCATACACAATTCATTGCCAATTCAGAGCAATATTTGTGTAAAGAGAGAGAGAGAGAGAGAGAGAGAGATTCAAGCTAGACCTACCAGGGAGTACTGGTGGTTTACAGTATGTCTCAATGAGAGATCTGTTTCATTAAGTTATTAACTTGATTCCGCTTGAATGTGCAGGTATACACGTTTGTTTAATAAAGCAGCTATACCCGTACGTGTAATCATGTGTGAACATCTGGAGGGCAATAATTGGCATTGAGTTGGTTTATATCAAAATCTCCGGCAAAGTATACAATTTATTTTCTTGATTAAGTATATTCACAATTGAATTGAAAGGATCGATGAAAGTCTGGATAGGTGTATTCGGCAGTCTATAAAATATAGTGCCAAAAATATTTCTATTTTATTTCAATAAAAACGGACTCCAATTCAGCTGTATTATTCATTATCCAGATCCAACCTACGAGAAAAGGTTAAACCATCACGCATATAAATGCCTACCCCACCTCCAAAGCGAGTATTACGGCCGTTACCCACAAACACGTAATCATCAACATTATACACTGGGTCATATATTTTCAGCCACGTTTCAGTTGTAGCTTTTGCACAAAATTCATAATCAACCAGATTTAAAAACAATATAAACGAAAGCTGAAGAAGAAAAGCGAAGAAAAGCTTCAGTCAGTCTGTAGTCATTGTAGTGCCTATCATTATGATTAAAATTATGTATATCCTATACAAGTAATAATTACTAACGTTTGAATTATTTGAATGCAACATTTGAAATTCGAGAAAACTTACCCCTCCACTTGCACCATTGACAAGAACCGTTTCACCTCTCTTAAATCCCGCCCTGTTTAACAAACAACAAAATAATCGATCATTATTCTTATCAAAACATGTATTCAGAATTAACTATACATTGACCTGTGTACATAATTATGTAGATTCACCAAACGTTTGACATAAACAATTATTTTATTGCTTTATATTCAAATACTTTAAAGTAATTAATGTGTTTAGGACATGAATCATCTAGACTGCCCAATAGCCCATTTTTGTTTTACAATGCCATCATTATTGTTTTTGTTTTAAGTTTCCTTTTTCCATTTCATGTAAGTCGTAAAATGGAACATTTTTATACATTTCCTAGGATATTAATGATTTGTTATTATCATTGTTTTGCAGTATGTAAACATGTTAATATTTTCCCTGACTGTAGTTTTACGAATATGAAATAAATATACGAATGAATAAACAACTACCCAGAGGAAAACTATAATTATCCTAAGCAATAATATGTTAATGTTCCTATATAGGGGTGAGCTGTCCGAGGTAAACTGTCCGAGGAGAAGATAGGAGCTAAGTGTTTAATAATTGTTAATAAGGTAGTTTTCGTGTAGTGTAGTTCTTACATAATTGTCCAGAGACCCAACATGGTGAAGGATCTCTTCAATATTCGATGATCACTTGATTAGGGTTAATTTAATATCACATAACTAATCCTAACAAACAAAACAACAACATTGTCTCACAATAAGTCACAGAGAAAGGATTATCGTTTTTTTTTTTTTTTTTTTACATGCAAAGGGTAATCTAACAAATAATTGATCATTTTGAATAAAAGTAGGTAGGATTTTAGTCTACCGTGCATATTGGACTTTAGGCATGTTAGACTGCAATGAAACCTGCTAATAACGACCATTATAATACAAAATAGAATAGCCACCTGGCTATAGAGACCGACTTCTCTGTCTCACGTGGGTCATCTTTATATAGAGATATAGCGGATGTTTACTAGGGCCAAGCCTGATATTCCTTATGTTTAATATCTGCAATAAAAATTCACATTGTCAGTGTTTGATTTGGATTATAGCAAGTGTAATTTCATTGTTTAATTTTAATTAGTGTATCATGGGATTGATCCCGTTTAACCAGTTTTAGAACAAACAATAAGAAACTCGCATTTCGCAACATTTGATTTTAGTTTGATGCATTTCAGACATTTAGATACTAACATAGTTTGTACCTCTTGGTATAAATTGTATAAATTGTTACCACGAGCCTATGAACATTTATCCTCAGCATAACTATCATGACATTAAAGGGTTTCACTCACTAATTTTAATTTGAATCATCTAGAATACACACAAAAAAGCACCTTTTCAAACATCTGATTGCACAGAAATATGGGTTGGGTAATACAGCGCCCTCCTCATAAGACAAGTTGTTTGGAAGTTTGTAGACTCTATCCTCAGCCGCTAAACAAAATTCTGCGTAGGTTCCTGTAATAGGCTGGAAGACATAGACTCGATCCCCAGGCTATGGTAATGATTTAGAAAAAAATTGAACTTGAAAAAAATTTGAAACGAATATGTGAGAGTGCATTATGTACTTTTTAACATAACAACGGGACTCCTTTTATTCAACAATCGTATTTTATTTGATATACTTTTAGTAATTCAAATATGCAACTCTAGCAGGTCAAAGGCTCTCTTATTAAACTTGAAATTTATTATCCAATAATAAACACATAACAATAGGTATAAACAAGTTTTGTTTACAATAACATAGAATGATAATATGAACCAGAAAATAGCATGAATACTAATCGAGTCTGATACCCAGGCGCGTACGCAGGGTGGGTTGGGGGGGGGGGGGGGGGTTGAACCCCCCTTCAACTTTTGTTATTTGTGTGTTTTGGCGGACAATGGGTGACCCCAAAAAGCTGACCTTACCCCACCCCCCCCCCCCCCAACGAAATAAAATATCGATCGGCCAAATTAAAAATATAAAAATTCTGTGGCCGTACAACATTGTTAAGTCATGAAAACTGTCACATCGCTCTCAGGAGTTTAACGGTTTTTAATAAGCGTGCCCAATTTTGTTGGATAGTATAGTATTTTAGGTTTAATCAATTCAATTTCAATTCAATTCAATGTAGTATATTTACAATACAAAATCGTATTCCAGGGACTAATTGCACAATGTTTACAATGTAAAAATGATCTTAACATAGAATCATCAACTAAAACAAACAAGAAAATAAATAAGAAGTACATAATCTATACAAGTCGCAATCACGATAATTTTATACAGGTAAAGAGCTTTGGAAACAAAACCTTCTTCATTATACAAAATAGAAGAAAAGGATCACTCGAATATTTAGCTGAAAATTAGTTAATGTATTATCATTATAATGCAATCTAAAAAACGATATATTTTGAATTAATTATTCCAAGATACATAATTATGTGTGAAAGAAAATATATGTTTTGTAATACTTACATAAAGGAAACTTGTGATGTTTATTAAAGAGCTAATGACACATTGAAAAAATCATAAAAACTAGAAAATATATATGCGTGTCTTAAATGGTCCCGTAGTGGAAATATGATGTGTTTGAATGTAACGTACCTGTAGAGTAGTGACTCCCTGCCCGACACTGTGAATGATCCCTGAGCCGTCTAAACCAAGAGTGAATGGTGGTTTATAAGTACGCCATCCAGTAGCACGAATTCGAAGATCCAACTCATTGATTCCTGCAGCTTTCATCCGTATCAGCACCTAGGTTGATGAAATCATAATTAAATCTCATCGATTCCCTCACGATATTTGAAGACTGTGGGCACATTTATATACACGAAATTGTCCTCAATTTTCTTAGTGCACAAACTTGATTTGAAAACATCCCTCTGCGCCTCAAAATAGTTTACTAGATCGATGGCGCATTAAAAATGCGGTATTATTATTATTATTATTATTATTATTATTATTATTATTATTATTAAAACACTATATTACACGGGGAAGGAGCTTACCTCGTTTTCACCTACTTGAGGTACAGGAGTATTGGGATTTACTCGCAGCGAATCCGCATCTCCAAATTGTTCGATCACCACAGCTCTCATCATGCGATTAGGCAATGTGTCACCAATCAAAGATGCTAAAGAACAGAGAAACAAAAGATGAGCTGCACAAAACAGTTTCATACTTTATTCCATTCCAATGCACAGATTATTTGGTACAACGCCTTTTCATTGCGGGTATAAAGTGCCTCGCAATTTGCTCCACAAATTAGTTTAAGGATCACTTAAACAGTGATAAAAACACTATTCGAGCAAATATAAACGAATAGCAAAGCAACACTAACAAAATAAGTGGGCCTTCAAAATTACCCCGTCTCACTGATATTTTGACACCTCTGTGTTCGAACATATTTTGACGAAATATTTATAATTTAACGTCGTTCAACGGTAATTTGATGAATATTTTCCTTGCAATAGGCTCCTCAAATTGATGAAAAATCAGGTATACATTTTCCTTCTTGGCTGGAAATTTGTCGGGGGAGGAGCGTTGCCTTTTCAATTACTCTGTTACCGGAGATGTCTTCCACCACAAGTCCATACATGAGGGTACTAATAATTATATTAGTTTATATAAACGAGTTGAAAATTCTGGATTCGTGGTAATTTAACATGTTAATTGTTCAGTTAAAAAACTCTTCGGTCTGAATTATGAATTTATTTATTTATTTATTCATGATATTTAGACAGAGTGACTCATCATCACCAATAATGGCGGGCTTCCATGAGGCCCTGTTAAACATAATGAGCTACATTAGTTTAACAATATATATATATATATAATAATAATAATAATAATAATAATGATAATAATAATAATAATAATAATAATAATAATAATAATAATAATAATAATAATAACAAAATCTTGAACATAAATTCATAACAGTAATACAAAAGAACATGACTGTATAAACATGCAGTAGGATTGCGGGTATAAACATATATAAAAAGTATGTGGTATCCTCGTAATAAAAGAATGGTTTCGTTTTGCTTTGCTTTTTAGTTCAAGAAAACGTTGTTGCATGATTATAATATTTTAATTTAGCATTATAGCATAGACGGTAATTAGTTATTTTAATCCGATGAAAAGTAACTATTAGCATATTTCGGTAAGTATTAGACCTTGAAAAAAGGCAACGTATACTTTTGAGAGTTCAATTGTTACATACATATTTACAACGTCAACAAATATTACAGGATAGTAAATTACTAGATAATATGCAAAATTAATGCATGTTATCTATAAACATAGCAATTCAATGAACACTCTTAACTAACATTAAAAATACAAATGTATTTATGACTGGTAATAAATTATATGAAATTATTCTTTAAGTTTGAAAAGCATTATATCGTCCTACATTCAGTGATAAGAAAACAGACAATATTAAAACAAATACACACGATACTAAATACATATTATGATGTCGTATTCCCATATTATTGTATTACAACAAAAAGATGTTAAATGTAAACAATTTGTGAATAAGTAGAACTTTTAAACTCCCACAAAAAAGCTGAATACAGCCACTTTCATTGAAAAAATGAAAAATTGTCCAAGTGAAAAGCATGGAAAATAATGAAAAACTGATAAAATCTGATTTTTAAAAACAGAAATGGCGATCTGCTATACAAAATATGAAAACTTGAACCGTTTACTTACCAACACCACAAGGGAAATGCGTAAGTCTATGTCAATTGGAATAAGACCAAAGAGAATATGAAGCAGGTTCATGAATGACATCTGACTAACCTTGAATAATAGGCTACCCTTATAATTATAGCTCATTCTTATCTGGGTTATTATCTCACAATATTGCGCAGATGACAGACTGCGCACGTACCCGTGAAACTATAACTTCATGAAGGAGGGCTTGTCTTCATTCATTAGGAAATACTGATATTCTCTATACGAATTCCCTTTTAGTTTATCAATAACTGGGTCTGTTTTTTGTTTTATTTAATCAAACATGCATTTCCGGCTATGATTATACATTTAAAATATGCAGATGAATTTAGGTTTCTTATTCTTCTATATTTATATGTGGCACGGTGGATGTATTTACGCCACCCCATCTTCATTTTACCTTATTCCTATAGGCGCCGGAAGCGGAGGGGGGGGGGGGGGGAGGGTGACAAAACGCATTTACCCCCCCCAAAAAAAAAAAAAAAACGGCTCTCGAAAAAAATAAGAAGTTGAAGGTATAGACCAGTTTGGGTCATGCGATTGCAATGTGAAAGAAACGTTGTGGAATCGATCAAAAAAGGTTGATCATCTAGCATATAAGTATTGATGTGTACTGCAAGGTTCTGGAATCATCAAAATGATAAGAAATTTGGCCCAGTCTTGGTAAAGTTACAAGCACTGTGCACAGAAAGATGTATATGGGACTTCCCTATATCTATCCAGTCCAGATAGATAAAATAATTTACCAAATATATCAATTAGTAGGCGGTTCCCCGGCAAAATGTGTATTATCACGTATAAGTTAAAACATATTCTTTCACATGATTGGTAATATTATGAGCTTCCATTTCATTTTTTGAAATGGAGGCGTTTCCAAAATTGGTCTTTACCCTTAAGTAGTAAAAATGGTTTGTATTCTTTTAACCAAAAAATAATGAAAAAATAACAAACCTTGAATTAAAATCACCTAAAAATTATATTTCATTTAAAGAAAAGAAGAGTAAACAGAATTTAAATTTCATAAACATTCTGCATGCCCCTACATTTATCAATGGAGGATTTTATAATAGCGATACGCGTATATCGTGGAAATATTGTGAGAGGATGGGAAAGCGTGTGTGTTTTTTATTATAGGGATGAGAAGACATGAGCCCCTCAACATTGGCGTACTGATGGGAATGTGGGGGGGGGGGGCGGCAGTTGCCCCCCCCAAATAATATTCAAACACAGTTTATTTCTAATTCGATACCGGTGATTTACAAATGTTGCTGAAATAACATGATTTTGGGGGGATTTTTTCTCAATTTTGTTTTAAATATTCTTTTTTATGCATTTTAATTTGTTGGAAAATTACCGTCAGGCAAACAAGATGCTTATTTAGAAGCCTTCTTTTCAGGTCCTGCAAGACAACGGGGCTTGGGGGTTCGAGCCCCCTCACTTTTTCGAAAAAGTATGTTAGAGAAAAAGAAAGAAAGAATGAGTGACCTGCCACTGTTACAAATGAGGTATCAAAATATGCCTACTGACTGTAAGTAAATGCCTAAAAACCCTGAGCTTACGGGGGCTCCGCCTCCTGGACCCCACCAAGGGCCCTATGCGGACCCTAAGGCGGGCCTCTGGATGCTCATCTGACCTTAATAAAATACCTAAACACCCTGAGCTTCCGGGGGCTCTGCCCTCGGAATCCCACCTAGGGCCCAAGGGAAGGCCCCTGGATGCTCATCTGACCGTAATTAAATACCTAAAACACCTGAGCTTCTTGGGGCTCAGCCCCCTGGAACCCCCCGCCAATTAGTGACTTGCCAGTGTCAGTATTAAGGTATCAAAATATGCTTATCTGGCCGTTATTTAATGCCTAAAATCACTGAGCTTCTGGTGGCTCCGCCCCTGGAACCCCACGCCAATTTATGCTCCACTCGGTCGTTAATACTCCACTCTGAAAAACGTTCCTCGGGGCCTGCATGTAACATGTAGGAGTGGTTGATGATGCACATTTTTCTCCCCCCCCCCCCAAAAAAAAAGATTTTGCTCATTACGCCACTGCCCCTATAAGGTGAACCCCTGGAATGTTTCCCACGCCCCAAATCCCAAACTGCTTCCGGCGCGCCTGCCATTGTTAAACTTAATGATTTCAGGATCCTCGATACCCTGGTACGGTTAATGAACAGAGCTATCCTAAACATGTGGGCAATACTAGCCGTGCTCACACGATGGCAATTTTGGTCGGCGTAAAGGTGGTGGTGGTGGTTATTTATACCTGACTGCTTAGAAAGCATAAATGCTTGTAAGCAACTAGACGGCCGAGGGACCTGATAATGAGGATTAATGAGGGCACTAGCGCATAGTCTTGGTTTCGAACCCGAGTCACCGGATTACGAGACCACTGCTCTACCGACTGAGCTATCGCGCCTACTCATTGAGAGGTTACGAGAGGTTACTCCATTTCACTTCAGATAAGTTCCCCCTTCACCTCCGATATTTCCCCCTTTCAAATCTGAGAGAGGCTCGTTTTACTTTGATAAGTGCCCATTCCCCTCATGATAAGTGCCCCTTTCACCTCTTATATTAAACTCCCCTTTCCATTTTGACAAGTGGCCCTTTAATTTCTAATAAATGCTCTCTTTCCTTTCTATAATTGTCCCTTCCCCTTTCATAATTACCCCTCTTCATCTCTGATAAGTGCCCCGTTATTTTAACATGTGCCTCTTTTTCTTTGTAATAAATGCTCTTTTCCCTTCTTATAAGTGCCCCTTTCTCTTCTCATAATTATCTCGTTTGACCTCCGATAAATTAGATTAGATCGGTGCCCATTTTCTTTCAACAAATGCACATTTTCCCCTATTTTATTCTCATAAGTGCCCCTTTTTATATCTGGTCAGTGTCCCTTTTCAGGTGCGATAAGTGCCCCTTTTCAACCTCTGATAATTTCCATTTTAACAACGAAACGTGCCCCTTTTCCTTTCTAATAAGGGACCTATCCCCTATTCATGAATGTCCCTTTTTACCTCTTATAAATGCCCCTATTAAAATCTGATGGGTGCCCCTTTTCCGTCAATAAATGCCCATTTCCCATTCTCATCAGAGCCTTTTTCCATCCCTGGTGAGTGCCTCTTGTCAGGTGTAAGAAGTGTTCCATTTTCACCTCTGATAATTACCCTTTGTACTTTGACACGTCTCTTTCCTTTTCTGACAAGTGTCTCATTTCATTTGATAAGTGCCTCTTTTCCTCTCATCATTTAAACGTGTCCCTAATTTCAAGCAACTAAGAGCAATTTGCCCAAGGCTCGCTAACCTGATAGATGATATAATTATGTAATTTATCAAATATTTGTTCAATCTTCCGTTATGAGAAGGTGCTTATATCCCCATGAAGATAAGGTTTCTTCCTTCTTTATGAGATGTAATTTTTCGCACTGCGACCTCACAAATCTTAAATTTTTTCCTCGCTCGCAAATAAATTTTCAGACCATCACACCCAACTGCAAATTATGATCCTTAAGCAAATCGTGTATGATGTATGAAGAGAAATCATCCCCGAAAATGTAATTACAATGTAGGGGTATGTACCAATGTCTTAAAAAAAATATATTTTCGCCTTGCGATTTCCCTTTGTAGGTGCCCTTTGTTGTTGGTGCCCCCCCCCCACTTCGGAAGTCCCTCCGCCGCCCCTTATGTACGCGAATTGAATTCTGTCTAGTGAGATATATTTATTCTTAAGAGGTAAATTAAATAATTTTGTATGGAGACGTTTCATAAAAGGCATATTGCATTAATTTGGCTACATTTCGAAAATGGCCCGTTAATTCGCTTTTTTGGAAGTACTTATATCAGTCTCGGTATCAGTGGTACCACCCAGGCGCGTACGCAGGGGGGGGGGGGGGGTTGGGGTTAACCCCCCCTTGATTTTTTTTTAGGTGTATGTTTTGTGTATGCTTTTTTGGAAAACCAATCCCCCCCTTTTTATTATTTTTTTTTTATTTGTTTTGTTTTAATTAAAAAAAACAAAAACCTTATAGATGACCTATAAAAGATGACCTTACTCCCCCCCCCCAACGGAACGGAATGTCGATGGGTCAAAATTTCAAATTTCGGGACCCCCCCCCCCCCCCCCCAAAAAAAAAAAAAAAAAATAAAATAAAAATAAAAAAAAATAAAAAAAATAAAATAAAAATAAATAAATAAAAAATAAAAAAAAAATAAAAATAATAATATGTCTTTACCTCTTTCGTATTAAATAACAAAGAAATTAGAGATCTAAAAAGGCGTAGTACGAGAAAAAAGGAAGAAAGTTATATATTAAATAGGAAGAAAGAGAGTGAGAGAGAAGGAGGGAGGTGGATGGGGAGAGAGAGAGAGAGAGAGAAAGGATGGGGCAGAGAGTGAGTGAGAGAGAGAGAGAGAGAGAGAGATAGAGGAGAAGAAAGAAATCAATGTGACCAATATAATTTTACAACACAACAAAGACCTGATTTATGTTTCATTAATTTTAGAAAAAAGGAAATACTAGTATTTGAGTTAACAATTCCATTTGAAACCAACATTCAACAGGCCCACCAAAGAAAGCTCGACAGGTACGCCGGATTAATACATGATATCTCAGAAGCCGTGTGTGACCGCGCCGTTTGTCCTACCATTTTGGTTTGTCTGTCGGACATAATATGCGGGTTTTCTGCTCGCACGGATCGTCCGCGACTGCGGTTTGCTATCCGCACATTTTGTCCCCCCATTGTTTTACGTGTATATTTGATAAAAGGAAGCAACTCGGCAAATCAATGTATTTAGACTCATTGTAAATCATGTAGTTGACATTTTTTTCTAGAAATTACATAATAATAACTCTACAATTTTTTAAATTTCAAATCCTTTTGAAAGTAGAAGTGAATATTTTCTTTAAAACCTTTATTTTATGAAGGCATACTCGTGATATCGGCCCCAAAACTGTTGTAATCGATTATACTTTTCTACATGGCTTCGTACTTCAACCAACTCACTACTAGTAAATACTTGTGATACAGGCCCCGCTCCAAGTATTTGGGGGCGTTTCGAGGTTTAATGAAGG